AAATATGGAAGATGGATATTGGGTACAAGTACCCAAGGCCATAGATTCAATACAATATCATGTCCGAACTAAAAAAAAGTGTGAGAAATTAGCCAAAAGGCCCAAAACCCTCAAATCAATCTAGGAAAAATCAAAGCGGTACAATCAACCGGACATGGGCGGCAAGCGATTCAGCCGGCCTAACTTGTAAACCGGCAAGTTCAATCGCTTAACCGAGCACATCCTGGGTGGTCAAAAAAAGTATTAACAAAATTTTAAAAAATAAAATATATATATATTAAAAAAAATTTAAAATATAATTAAACAAAACACATCCAAATGAAGTTGAAAATTAATTAAAAAATGAATTTTAAAGAAGGGTGTGGTTTCTATAAGGTTGCAACCTTAAACAATCCAATTAAAGCGCAATTAAAATGTTATCATAACATGTAATTTTGTTGTAAAAAGTTCTTAATATTATCTTAAAATCTATTTTCATACCTAACTAGCAAATTTTAAATTCCAAAAATGGTTAAAATCAAGTAGATCTATAAATATATGAAAATATTGAAATAAACGGTCTAGATAATGTATTGCAAGATGCACTATTTCCGAGATTCAAAAGCTTTTTTTTTTTCATATTCATAGATCTTAATGTCGAGATTATTGATTAGAAGGCTTTTTAAACATTAAAACAACATTTCTGATGGATTTTTAGGTGTATATGTTTAAGGTTGCAACCTAATATAAACTTTTCCCTTTAAAAAATCAATTTGTGCCCATGGTTGTTTTTTAAATTTTTCAAAAAATATGAGAAAATTTAAAAATAAATATTAATGGCCAAAACAATTTCCATCCTTTGCCAAAATGATGAAAATATTAAAGAATGCATTTCAAATAAAATGCCTTATTTTATGGATTTTGTATTTTTTTTTTTTTTTACCTGGTCGGTTCTTCCTGATTTTAAGTTGCCTCAAACAAAACCCAATATAATGCAATCAGATCCCATTACGCTTCAAAAGTTCCTTACGGTAAGCAATATACGTCGCTTGGTGACTGCGAAGGCAATAAAAGGCAAGAAGTTAATTTCTCTCGAGTGTAGTAAGCAATATATGTTGCTTGGTGACTGCAACGGCAATAACAGGCAAGAAGTTAATTTCTCCCAGGTTTGGAGAGGCCAACAAAGAATAAATTGAAGCATAAAAAGGTCAGAAAGGATACACAGAGATTGCACCCTCAAGATTAATCCAAGAAAGAAACATACCTCCAAGCAAATGCAGTGGGAGGGAGGCAGAGAGATCAATTGGCCTTAATTTCGTGTGCTGAAAGTAATATGTGTGTGCTTGAGAGAGAGAGAGAGAGAGGAGAGAGAGAGAGAGAGAGCTGACATACGAATAGACGAGACGGCCTCGTACCGGGTCCTTCCCTTTCCCTTCCTATTCAGACAAACGTCCTAGAACATAACAAAACCTACGAAGGGAAACGGTCTGACAACACCTACCTAATTTTCGTCTTCCTATTCACGACCAAACTCGACAACATCAACAAACTATAACAA